ACCATGACTCAGACAAGGTATGCTGTAATGATATAAAAAAGTTTCATATTTTCAGTCTTGTCATTCTGATATTTATTGAGGGCTTTTTTTAATATAAAATAATCCATTGTTTACTCTCAAAACTGTATTATTGACCCTTGTGAACAATTATAAATTCGTATTTTTAAGGAAAGAGGTATATGTCTGCCATATAGCCTTTCCACGCCTATAGCAGCATGGTCTACTGAAAAAAAAAAAATACAGCTGGGACTGTTTATTGCTTCTGTTGCATTTTATCCATGCGGCTTTAGACTCACTGGTGTTGAAGGGGGGTACACCACTTTTGAAGTTGTATTGAATCACGAGAAGGAGCCTGAGTTGTAAGCCAGAATCTTACAGCCATCCTAAAAAAATATTTGTGGGATTAAGAGACTGAAAGCAGCAGCAGCAAGGTTATTCCTTGCTGACAGATGACAGGAGATGGAAAGAGAGCAAGGAGGGTTTGTTTGAGAGGATTTTTGGTCCAATTTGCCAAACCTATCATTCCAGGAGTTTCATGGAATTCCAGTAATATCTGAGCTTTGTTTGTGATTAAGGCAATGGTTGATACAGATTCTGTTTCTGACTGTCTCGTCCTTCTGAACTGCTGAAAGAAGCAGTTACTCTTTCTCCCATTCAGCGAAGGCACAGAGGTCTGTTAAGTAACAAACATGACAGAAGTGCCTGTGCATCCTGCACAGACATTAGCATGTGCTTCCAGCTAGCCCAGAAAAGCCCGCTATTCAGACAGTATCAGACAGAAGGTACAGGGATAAGTTGTTCGATTCACTTTTGAGAAGAATTCTAAAGCTGCTCTGGTGGCAGGAAAATTTTTAGAAATGGAAAGTGAGATTACAAGGAAGATCTGATGCTTGGCTGCAGCATAGGACATGCTTCCAATATCTAGGAATGAGCTCAAATTGGAACAATAGCTAGGAAGATGTCTGTTAAACCATGAGTCAAATAAAACACCGGGAGCTATTACAGAAAACAGTGAAACTTTTCATAATCTTAGGAAGTTTCCCATTATTTAAAGGATTTACCTTTATTTATGTCTGTTATATAAGGTTAGCCCAATTCCTTTAAGGATATGTTATTGAAGAGGGAATGATACAGCTTTCCAACCCTTTCACCTTTCAGGGTTTACCACTGCATTTTCGAGTTCTTTGCTTTCCAGACTATTGTATTCAACCATTGTTGCTATTTCTGTTTTCTTTGCACTCCATCCAGCAATGTGATAGCAGATCTGTAGACACTCTATCAGATTACTTATTAAATAAACAAATGAACTTCAGTGGCTTAAGCAGTGGAATTCAATATGCAAACTTCTCTTAACCTGTATCTGAGTGTTGTGGTTTCACCCCAGATGGGACCCAAGTCCCAGCAGCCACTTGCTCACTCCACCACCAGCAGGATCAGGGAGAGGAGCAGGGAGGGGAGAGGTGAAGAACACAAGCAGCTTTTGGCAAAATCTTTACTGGTTCATTAGAATCATGCTTTTTAATTTTGTGCTCAGTACACAATTTGTTTTGGTTTATATTCAACTGTGTAGGCAGAATAATGCTAAAATAAGCCTATTTTTTTGTTAGCTTATTTTTTTAAAGCTGTTGGTCTTTCCCCTTTCATGTTAAAATTTCTATACTATGCCTGGTGCCCTGGGTTTGTTTTTATTGTAACAAAGAATATTTGTTGCAGAATATAAAATTAGAATTAATACTGTTTTGAGTGCATATTTAGTTAAATATTGACTACATTAACTGAAATATTTGCACTTCAGACAGTTGGGCAACATCCTAAGGTCTCAGAAGCCCAGTAACTTTATTCTACTGGAAATTGCTAATACTTCTACAGGCTCTTGCCTGGAAACTGCAAAGATCAGTCCAGTTATCCTGTTAGTTGAAAGTAAAGATGTCTTGATTGCAGGGAGTAGTTACCATTTATTGAAAGAAAGGGACTTTTATTTGTGGAGACAAATTGGGATTCTGACAGGTAAAAATTAGAAACACAGATAGATGTTGCAGTTTTTCAGCTGTTTCTGCTATAACTTAAAAAATATTTTAAAAATGCTTAGATGTTTTTCCTTAAATTCTGGGAGGTAACATTAGTAATAATTGTAAAAACAGCAGCTCCCTCTCAAGGTTCTACCACGAATAAATGCAAATCCTACTTTCTCTGCAGGAAGAAAATGAGTTTAAATGGAGAGTGTTTGCAACTAAATAAGGTGTTGAAATATTAAAAGAGAAATTGCTTTAATCATATAGACTCATTAACAAAATTCATATGTGATAGAATTCTTCACAGTGTTTTCTGAAATAGCCTTGATTTCTAGGTTAGTTAAACTGCAGTTTAAAAAACTGACCTGGTTCAAGTGGCATTTTAGAATTTCCAACTACAAATCTGAAATTGTATGTATGTAATACCCTAACTGTGACTTTTTAAAGTAAATTCTACCATTTTCTGGTTCCCTTTCTGATTTTTAAAAAGGATTCTTTATTGCAGGAAGACATAGAGGCAGAGTCTACATTTTCATTAAATATGAACTTCAGCAGTAAACGAACAAAATTTAAAATTACAACATCAATGCAGAAAGACACACCACAGGCAAGTATTCTTTGGTGTTTCTAGCTTGAACAGCTTAGGAATTTATTTTTCTAAAATGGAATGTATTGTGTTAGTCTGGTGTAAGATTCACCAAGTAAGATTTACATAGCCATAAAGAAATTTTGTAAGTTTAAAGCTTAAGCACTGCAATTTTTTTTTTGTACTTAAAATATAGGCAGGAGAAGATAAAATAGGGAACAAGAAGGCAGAAGGGAAAGATAAACAAAATGTACCAAAAGAGATTGACATTTAGCTTGTCTTATCTCTTGAGACTTTTTTATTGGTGGTGTTTACAAAAGCAGCTTAATCCAGGAACAGCAGAACCAATCAAATTTTTTCCTCTGATTTTGTCTTTTGGCAACTAAAATTAACTCCTGTGTTGATAATCCATGTTTCCTCTATCTCCTAAGACACAGGATTTTGTGCAAGATAAGTATGTCCTGCCAAACTCAGTACATTATAGTAAAATCTGCCTGCCTTACTCCCTAGCAGAATTGGTGGTTTGGATGTCCTACCTTCCTACTGACTTTAAAGAAATCTGGTATTCTTGATTTATGGAAGTACTTTGCCTGGAAATGAACTTCACCTCCATTTTTTTATTACTTGACCACTTTTAGTAAAGCAAAAAGTATAGGTCCTAGATCTCTTTATGAAGTGTTTATTTGTCTTACTATATTTTAAACATTAATGTTCTTGCTGTATCACAGGAGATGGAGCAGACCAGAAGTGCTGTAGATGAAGACAGAAAAATGTATCTCCAAGCTGCTATAGTCCGTATCATGAAAGCACGGAAAGTGTTGCGACATAATGCTCTAATTCAGGAGGTAAGAGAAAGGCCTCCTCTTGAGCTTGATTCGATGAAAATCTTCAGGAGAGTTGGGTAAAACATCTGACCACAGAACTCTCCTGTGCTGAAACTAATACCCCAGGGAAATTAGTGAGGATTTCCTTGGGGTCTGCCTTGAACTGCAGTACTGGAGCACCAGCTGGGATCCTTCAATTTTGTCTTACCACTAAAACATTAAGTGCTTGCTCTTTCCTGCTGACTGGTTCTATGCCAGCAGATGCTGTATCCTAGAGGAATAAACCAGAGCCACAGTTACAGTTGAAAACCTGAGTATGGATAATTTAAGTATGGAATTTCCACAGAAGCACCTAGCCAATTTTTATCTCTAATCATTATTTTATTATAACTTATGGCTTAAATTTTAAAAGTTTTCTGAGTATGGAGACAGGCACTTTTTAGCCTCCCTTTTCCATTAAGTTTTCTAGATTTTTTTAGATTCTAAATTAATGATCTGTGAACTGTCACAGGCTGGCTGGAAAGGTAGTGCTATTTCATTAGTTTTTCTCCCATTTTCCCATCTGTTGGTTGCCTGCCTAATTGTATTTTTCATTCCAGCCTAACTTTTGTTCCCACCAGCCAGTTCCCAGTTTTAGTTTTCTCAACCTTCCAAGGTGTTCTTTCTTCAGTCTAGTTCACTCTTGTGTCCCTGAGCCTTGCTGGAAGCCTCAGAGCAGACTCGTGGGAGGAGGAATAAAGATTCCTGCTTTATTCAACCATTTTGAGGATGGAGGTGGAGAAGCATTGAGTAATTTGTGGTGATGGAGGAAACAGTTTACTACACTCACCACTTAATTTTTATTTCTTTAAAAAAAAAAAAAAAAGCTGGTACAGAGAGTTTGTAAGCTCAGAACTTGAAATGTGAGATATCTTAAAAGTTTTGGATTTTGAAATAATGCTTGTGTACACAATTACTCTGAAAGAAAGCTTAATTTAAGAATTCGGATTTTGAATATCCAAAAGGTGAGGCAGTGTAGGTCCTGAATCCTCTCAAAATCTTTGCCTATTTGGTTTCCTGTTATTTAAAACATCCATGCAGTTACGATGAAGTCCTTGTAAGAATTTACAAATAAAACTAGAAAATGAAAGTCAAGACTTGTTTCGTCTTTGACAATATGTTTTTCTCCCCACTCTCAAATTATTAGAAAAAGATTTCAAAATGTTCTTTTTTTTGGCACCAGTTTATAAGGGTGAAATAATTTAGAAATTTTTATGTTTCGGAAACAAATCCTTTCTGGTTGCTTCTTCCTTTGTTTAATGGAAGGGCCATTATCTTATGTACCTTTGCTGTCTTTTGTTCTTGCAGTGATTTTGCAGAATAGTCTGTTAACATCAGGAGCTTTTTCTTTAGCTTTTCAAGACGGGGATATTTTGATAGTTACTCTTTTAAAAACTAAGTAGAGAGTACAGTTGTGATATTGTTAAAATTCTGGTGACATCTTCTATCATGCTGTTTATGTACATATATAGTGTATTCACTTAAATTTTACTGTCTGACTCCTTCTAAAAAGATTCATTCGTATTCAAGGAGTCTGTTTACTACAAGGAGTTAATATTTTCTCACCTCATTAATATTTTTCTTTTTAGCAATAAGGGTAGGATTTTATTGTTGTTAGAGATATGATTGAGAGACTCCTGAACCTTCATGTCATTGGCTCTGATTTTAGCAGTGAAACTACAGCCCCACACACTTTGTTTAGGGTGAGGTGTCCAAGAGAATACTCCAGGCCCCTGGTAGACCTATATATGTCATCATATGGTCTTTGTCTGAATTGTTAATTGTGTTAGATACGCCCTGATAATTTCAATTCTAGCTCTATGCTGCAGTTGCCTGCAGGACGAGGTAGCTTTTCCCATGAAACGAGTAAGTCCATGGAAGTAGTGGAGGGGAAAAGTCAGTGCAGTCATTCCCAGAAAAGTTTTTATTCTGACCATGAGGTATTTCTGTCTATCCTTCTTATTTGTATTACCTTTGATAGAACAAAAACAAATCAAAAAAAGCCCTTACCAATACAAAATTCTACCTTTTGTTCTCTCTGTCCTGAGTAAATACGTGAATATATGATGCTGACAATCAGTTTGAATGTAGGGCTGAAGTTAGGTGAGATCTGAGCAGATGTATTAGCTTGTTAGCACCCACTTTCTCCTCGTTTGTGCTGCTGTGGAACGTACCAGACGCTTGGCTGCAAGCCCAACAAAACTCGCTCTTTTGAGCTTTTTGTTTGCTTTGCTGGGTGAGTTCCACCTGGTGAGTTCTGTTGGCTCACAGAGGGCCCCAGCAAACTCTAGAGCTGGGACAAAGCCAGCCATGAGAAGTTGTAAAGAAAACAGGAAATCCAGCTGAAATAAAAATCACTTTCTTTACAGAAGAAATTAAAAACTACGGGCAAAATATATTGTGACTTTTGAGTAGTAAGATATTTTGTTTGAAAAATTTTTCAAGTTCTAGATTTCAATCATCTGCTACTACTCATGATTTCCTCTTCTCTACAGGAGAATGGACAAAACTGAGAACTAGTAAGAGACAAGTCCAGTTTTGCCTGCAGTGGCAGTTTCTTCTACAAAGCAAATGCAGATTTTTATTGCATGTATTACAAAGTTCCAGCATAGGCAGATGGAACTCGCCAAACTGTAGATCTGCCTTCAGTGACTGAAGGAAGAGGGGCTCACCCCGATTGTCTCAAATTGGATAAGAAAGGAGATAAATGGTGGAACTCCACTATGAGATGTGTTAATATTATATTAATTTTTAACATCAGTATTTGTGTTCATTTGTACTGTGAAATGAAGCAAGCAAGAGAAATGAAGAGATCTGGGTAATATGCAGCCAAAATAACCAGTGAGTTCAGCAGTCAGTTTCAGTGTCCTGACACTAATTCTTAAAGATGCTTTCTTAATTGTTATAAATTAACTATTCCATGGTTATTTAACTTGTCTTTAAAACAAAAGCATACTGA